CCAAAAAGAGAAGTACATTTATGTGTTCTTCAAGCATGTCATTACTTTCCAACAGCAGGATATTTTTGATATAATAAGACTTTAGAGCTTATATCCAAAGATTTTTAGTGGTTGCAAATGTAGAAGGTGGTAAAACACTTTGTTCAATCATGTGATGTTTGTTGAAGATCAAAAACTCCTTATCATTGATCCTATAGACTTCTCCAACCATTTTCTATATCCAAACAACCATGGTCTTCCATTTCTATGGATTTTATTACAAATCTTCTAAGTTCAAGTTTATATTAGTTTATATTTATAATTGTTGATCACTTCACTAAAATGGTATATTTTGTATTATGTACAAAATCTATTTTAAGTCAAGAAATAGCTAAGCTTTTCATTGACAATATCTATTACTATCATAGATTGTCAAAGTATATTGTATCAGATAGGGGGACTCAATTTGTATCAAGATTTTAGAAAATCCTATTTAAGATTCCAAAGGTAGATATAAAGCTCTTTTCAACTTTTCATCCTCAAATTGATAGACAAACGGAATAAGTGAATCAAGTTCTTGAGCAGTATTTGAAATATATCATCAATTATTATGAAGATGATTAGACAATTTTTTTGCCATTGGTAGAGTTTACATACATTCTTCTACTCAACAAACAATTTTTTTTGCTAATTATGGTTATCATCCTCGACTTGATACTTTTGACTTTTTAAAAGTTGTTAATCTTTTAGCAAAAGATTTGGCAAATCATTTGTCAGAGTTATATGCAACAATAAAGATACAATTAAAAAAAACTCAAGAATGACAAAAGACCAATGAAGATGCCTATTGCAAGAAGCAACAAAATTCAATGTGGATGATAAGGTATGATTACTTTATTGCAATATCAAGACTATTCGTCATTGTGATAAATTAGACTATCGTAGGCTGGGACTTTTTTGCTTTTGTGAACAAATCAAACCTATTGCTTATCGATTATATCTACCAAAGTCTATGAAGACTTCATTTATCTCTTTTTGAGCCATATAAGACAATGAATATCTTAAGAAGAAGACAAATGCCACCTCTTCCTATAGAAATTGATAATAATTAAAAATTTGAGGTGGAAGAAGTCTAAGTTTCAAAGCAACCTTGAAATATGTTAGAATATCTTATTCATTGGTATGGATATAATATTAGCAAATGCACATGGCAGCCAAAAAAGAATCTTATAAATGCAACAAAGAAGGTTGAGGCCTTTCATTAATGACATCCATCAAAATCAAGATGAAGAATAGTGAAGATCCATAAAAGATGATCACTACTCCTCGTGGAATTCATCTCTAGAAAGAAGGGTAATATCACGGACATATATATTTACCTCAATAATTACTTATATAATTAGGTAGAAGTAGGTAAATATTGATTAATTTCATAAAGTCTTTTAGAGAAGCTTTCTAAAAGCTTTATAGATGCAGTTTTGACTTTAGGTGTGTTTATACGTTAGAAACTTGGCCAATAAGTTAACCATGTATTGATAGCTTGTGAAACAAGATAACTACATGGCACATACATAGATAACTTGCTTTACAAGTTAAAACATATGGCTAGCAAAGTCAACACATATTGGAGGTCCTATAGAATATCGCCACATAGCTTTTAGTTTGAGATTATATATGGAGGCAAGAGTGAAGCCTTCTTCATTCTTGTCAACATCTTTCTAGTCTTTAGTCTTGTTGCAAGACTTTCTAGTCTTTTTATTTTTGGCAATAGCCATTTTAGTCCAATATTATATCATCTTTAAGTGACTATGTAATTCCTTTTAGTGACAAAAGAGTATATTGAGGATTTTTTTCTTCGAGATTCATGTCCTTGATAGTACAAGATCATTAGTTTTGACAAATTTTGTGAGTAGTTTGTAGATCAAACAAAAATTAAAAATTAAACAAGAACTTAAATGATTATATTTTATCAAACATATATATAGACTGAGAACCGCAATCTTATGAGAAAGTCATTTTATATCTAGATTGAAAATCTTCCATTCAGCAAGAAATTAATGCAATAAATAAAAATTATACATGAAAATTAGTCAAGAGACCACATAGTGTACACACTATCCACTCTTGGTGGATTTTAAAATCAAAATAAAACATACTAGTAAAAAATCTAAGCTAAAAGCACAAATAGTTGTCTTAGGTGATAAACAAGTATTTGAGATTGACTACTTCCCAATATTTTTATATTGAAAATAAGTTTTAAAATAATTTTAAGAAATTCGATTTGAAGGATGATTTTCTATATTATAAAAGATATTTATGTATTCTAAAAGGTTTAAGGTAATTATATGTATTTAAGCATAATATGATTTTTTGAGTACTAGGATATTTTGGATGTAACAAAATTTTAGACCTTATTTTAAAAGTTTTTTGGTAGCTTTAAATGTAAAATATTATCAAAGCATTTGTTTATTCTTGGGATACTTGATCTTTAGAAAACACTCCATATTTTTAATTATATATACTTTTTAAAACTTCTACTTATTTATAAATAATTTTTATCATTTTTTAAAATAACCTTTATAACAAATATTTTTAATTTTTTGCAAATCTTTTTTTATAATAGTAGATTTTTTAACCAAACTAATATATTTTGTGGCTTTTTAAAAATATAATTACTATTAAAGAAATAACTAAAAAAAGTTAGATAATATTTTTTGATATCATAGACTTCCAAGTAATATTATATTTATTTTACAACTATACTTTGAATCAAGGTTTTAGATTAGAAAATTCAACATATTTTAGGTCAATATTCAAAAAAAATCATTTTTTATAAAAAAATGGATAAATAAAAAGTATAAATTTAATATTTGAATAATATTTATACTATACCATCAACTATTATCAAGATACTTAGCCAACTTTCTTACCAATAATAAAAAAATTCATATAACAAGACAATACAACTTTTATTTAATAAACTTTATTTTTTGCTAACTATGAATATCATCCACAATTTAATATCTTTGTCTTTTCAAAAGTTACAAATTTTGTAACAAAAATATTGACAAGTAGAATGATAGATCTTAAGTCAACAATAAAGATACAACTAAATAAGGCTCAAGAACAACAAAAAAATAAGTAAATTTTGTTTTAAGATAAAACAACATCTATACAAAGTTGATAATAAGATATACTCTTACTTTGTTATATTATAAAGACTAATTGATCTTGTGATATGTTGTATTATCAATAACTTAGTCTTTTTGTTATTCAAAAATAAATAAATGCAAGAGTATGTTAATTATAATTTCCATAATCAATAATAGTTTTCTATATGTTCTATTCATTGCTATTAAATCTTATTCATTGATCAACATACTAAGAAGAGAACAATTGCCACTATTTTTTTTTTTATTGAAATAGATAATAATCAAGAGTTAAAAAAAAAAAAAAAAAAAAAAAAACTTGGATTAAAGGCAGCATCAAAATAAATTGGAATATCTTATAAATTTGTGCAAATATGATATTAATAAACATATGTGAGAGCCATGTAATAATATTATATATATATGACCAAATTTGATTTGATTTGATTTTTTTTTACAACATGCAATGAATAAGAATTTAAGTCCTAAAGCAACTGAAGTAGTAAAAATATTCTTAATAAGAATAGCCATATTTATAGAGATTGAAGTGTATTTGAATTTAATAAACCATGAAGACATATTGCTCATAGCATGTAACCACGACTTACAATTTATAATCACCATTTGCAAAAACCCATGCAATTAAATTCTTTTAATAACCATCAATGATTTTTGTAAAATATTTTTTTCTTTGAATTTTCAATTTTCAATTTTTTTTTATAAAACATGAATATTTAAAACATATGATTAATATAAAATAAAATCGATTTTTTAATTGTACGATATAAAGCCATTTTGTACCCTTTTTTGTTACAGTGGCTCACTTTAAATATATATACACGTACACTTCCTATATTTTCTTCTTTAGAAAATCAACCAAAAGTTTTTGAAAACTTTCCATCATGTTCATAGAATCACACAGCAAGAGCAAAGTTTGACAATTCATACAAAAACAAGAACAAAACAAAAAAATGTTATTGTTAAATCTTAACAAGTCCGGAAATCTTAACAAGTCTGGAACGACCACAAACTACCAAAGGATTGCAACAAACAATAAAAAGGCCTGAAAACATGAGCTAAAAAATTTGACAACTTGAACCTGGGTCACAGGAAGCTCCACCCAAGTTCATAAAATTGAGTACGAAGACACCGAAGGGCAACAGAAAAACAGAAGAAAGAAAGAAAAGAAAAGAAAAAGAAAAAGAAAAATAGACAAACAAACGCTGCCCATTTTACCTCTGGAAGTAAACAAGTTGGAGGGAGCCCACAATCCAAAATCCAACGAAGGTAAGAACAGCAACAACAATAACAACAACAACTATGTCTCGGAATAAAACAGCCAGGAACAATAAGGACGCAACGTGGTCCGCCTCGCGGCGAGCATCCCCACGAGACAGCAGGGAGATTGAGAAGCTCACCGATGAAAACAAACACACACACACTAATGGAGGAATGAATGGGTGGTGAGATGAATGAAGAGAGAATCTTCTTAATCCACCCAACACCTAACTCCTGATGCTAATTTTACCATTGCTAATACCGCGCTTGTATCAAGGAAAGCTTCATAACTTTATGACAGGTGGTGATGTCTGCAGTTCTCTCACTCAGTGCATATGTAGAAGGAGCGTGCCCCTGGGTTTGATCTTCCACTAGTTTCGCTTCCCGGCATAGGGAGCTTGTTGCGTAACAAGTCTGTCTGTGGAACTCGGGTGGGGGGAACTGTAGTAGCCAGCTAAAGGTTGCAGTTTTGCGCACGAGTGTGTGGGTTTTTTTGTTTTTTCTTCAGTTAGGAAGCTTCCATCGTCGTGGTGAGTGCTGAACTGGTCCGGTGGTTGCGCGTGGGTGGTTACGCGTTCGCTGGTCGGTGGATTGTTTTGTGCTTGATGGCCTGGGAGGGGGCAGGTGTGATTGCGCGATGCAGTGGAGAGAGAGAGAGAGAGAGAGAGAGAGAGATATGCTGTTGATAACTCGGGTTGTGTGTGTGTTTTTTTTCTGTGCTCTGATTGACGATGTGTGCGGGGTTTTTAGCTTGTCCACTGTCGGCTGAAGTGTTATTTAGTCGTGGGTTTGTAGCGAGCTGCAACTTCTAGTCCGAATCTTGGTCCTGAGTGGGTTGTAGTGGTTTTAACTGCGTTCCAGGTAATGATTTGGATTCGTCTTTGAGGAGTGTTAGTGCTCGCGTTTGCAAACTGGCATCTGGAGTCCTTTTGCGTTAAAGAGTTTGAAGTTGGTAAATTTGGAAACGAGCAAGCCAACACCGACGCATCACACCTAACTCTAGGCCTTGGATTAGGGCATACTGTGATTGAGCGTGGTCTTCAAACATTGACGCATGTATGCTGTGTATTTCCAGGGTGCGAAGCTAGAATTGGAGTTCATCTAAAAGTTGGTTGATTCGTCAAGATGGTGAAGGATAAGGAGTACTATAATGTTCTCGGAGTATCACCCGAGGCTACACCGGCCGAAATCAAAAAAGCCTATTATGTGAAGGTTGTTTCCAACGTCTTTGTATTCTCTTGTAAAGCGGTTTTCTAGTATGCAATGTTCTTGACCCTTAATATTCCTGTGCAATGCCCATTAAGAAACGGACATATCTCACTATCTTGTAGACAACTATAGTCGTTGTCAAATGATTGTCAAGTTTACTTTCTCGTGTGACATGTAGAAATCCAGAAGGATTCAAGTCTGTATTTTTTACCAGTTTTTCGTTGTTCGTCTTGGAACAGGCAAGACTGGTGCATCCCGATAAGAATCCCAACAATCCTGAAGCTGCTAAGAACTTCCAGGTATTTTCCAACGCAAACAATATCGAATTGTGAGACTATGCATACAATACCAAATTATACTGTGGCGAAAGTTGTGGATACTGTCAAAGGGGCAGGTTCAAATACTTTTGCTTGAAAGATATCATGGCAGTGTAGCTAAGAGCTGAGAGTTTTCAGTGCACCTGATTCTTCAAATTATGAGCATTTGAAGCCAATCCACAAACAAGTCTTTTGATGCAGAAGTCAATTATCGGAGTATTATCTGAAATGGCCCACCGGGGATTCCTTCAAATTATGGTTTCTAGTGATGTTAACTGACGAGACTCTTGTCTATTGTAGATCTTGGGTGAGGCATACCAAATCCTCAGTGACCCAGAGAAAAGAGCGTCTTACGACAAGCTTGGGAAAGTGGGCGTGTCTCAGTACGTTCCTCTTCAATAAACAATCGCTCCTACCATAATTAAAAAAATTGAACTAGAACGATTTTCTGATGCCAACTGTCAAATTAATATCGTGCCGCACTCAGTGATAATCACGTGTAGCCATTGGCAGTGCATGACCTGAATTCTTGCATTCTGGAATAATGTAGGTCTTGGTTTGACGCCCCTGGCTGCAATTTCTGTATGAAAAGTGGGATAATGTTGTGAGCTTAGCGGGGCTTTTGGTGTGTTGCAGAGAGGCGATGGTAGATCCAGCAGCAATTTTTGGCATGCTGTTTGGTAGCGATGCTTTTGAAGAGTATATTGGTCAGGTATAATCTTATTCTCATCATGTTATCTCAATCTGTGTGTGCTCTAGGAGTTCACAATATAAGTAGGGTGAAGCTCATCTGGAAAAGACTGGTTTGGCGTAAGATTTGATGTGGTATTACAAATGAATCTTCCTTGTTCTTGATTTTCTAAGCCGAAGCAGTTGAGTGAAGACACCCTCACTCTTTTCCCCTATAACAGAAGAGTTTGAGTTGTGTAATGGTTATCTGCATTGCACATAAAAGTAAATCGAGATTTAGTAGAAGCTTGCGCTGTACTGATTGTTTGCCCCTCGTGGTGTTGCTTCTTGCGGCAGTTGGCAATCGCGGCAATGACTGGAATGGAAATGGGTGGTGGTAGTCAACCGGTAGATGTAGGGCAACTCCAAGCTAAGTTTAAGGTGATTACCTACTTCTTGTTTGAAAGCTTCGTCTTGCTTATCAACGGGTTGTGTAGTGCCAAGTTGACAATAGTGTGTGATTGTTCTCTGGTTTGACAATCGCAGTCTTCTTCAACAACATTCGTTCGGTTTGTGTCTTATGCAGGGGATTCAAAAAGAGAGAGAGGATAAGCTTGTCCAGAATTTGCTTCAGCGACTTGAAACCTATGTCAGTGGGGACAAGCTGGAATTTGTCGAGCGGGCCACAAAAGAGAGGGAAAGGCTTAAAGAGAATTGTAAGTTCAAGAGCTGGTGTTAAATACTCTTTATATTAGTTGCTGTTGGCGTCTGTCATCTGTCTCCATGCTACGCTTGGTCAATTCTACGAAATCAGAATGTGAGTTGGAAATGTGGTAAATAGTGACGTGGGTCTGGTGCAGCTTTTGGAGAACCCATGTTGCAGACAATTGGATATGTGTATCAGAGGCAAGCTGCTAAAGAGCTTGGGAAGAACGTTTACTTCTTGGGAGTGCCATTCTTGACGGAGTGGTTTCGTAGCAAAGGCCATTTCATCAAATCTCATGTTACCGCTGCCTCAGGTTTTAATTTACAACCCTACTTTAGACCTAGGATTGTGTGTATTGAAGGAGATATTAGCTTAGAGAACTCATGTGATTGGAATGAAACGGGGCTTTTATTGCATTTGCTATTTTGAAAGTTCCGTGTTTACACAAGGTTTTTGTGACTCTTGTTGAAATGAGCTTGGTTTGGTTTCTTCGTCATAAATTCTTGAATAGTGCACATCTCATTAACCAATTTTCTGCGAGGCACGTTGAAGACGCAAGTGCAGTTTTTGTTCGATGATCAGTACGAGTGTTAGGCCCCCACTTCAACATCACCTAAAATGTTGCGGTTCGCGTGCAGGTGCTGTTCATTTAATGCAGTTACAAACGAACTTGAAAAGACAAATTGAGGAAGGAAAGATGGAGCAGGGAGTCGAGGCGTATCTTGAATCTAACAAAGATGTGATGGTTGATAATTTGTGGAAGCTTAATGTAGCTGATATCGAGAATACGCTTACACGCGTATGCCAACGGGTACCTACTTGCCTCAAGCACCGCTTATCAAGTTTATGTGTATGATGGATGCAGCGGGTTTTAATTGATGTGGTGAGTACTTTTAAAGCGGAGTAGTCTGATGGGATACAAGCTGAAAGAAATGGGCACTTCTCTGCCTCCGCTAAATTGCGCAATTCCATCAATTTACCAACCGTGTAAATCTCATTATCAAATGAGAATACTGACTTCTCATTTATGTGCGCAGGTTTTGCACGATCCACTTGTACCCAGGGAGGTTGCCCTGAACCGTGCAAAGGCGCTCAAGAAGTTGGGAGCAATTTTTCAGGTGAGTGAGAATACTCGGATCAGATGATTTCTGCAATCGAGCCGATCTATCTATTCGGTGCCAGTGATAATTTTAGTCAACAGGGGAATATGGAAGCTGTTCAAATCTTATCTTGGGTCGATATTACGAACAGGTTTAACCATTCGGCACATATTGTATTCTCGAATGGTTCAAATTGTTCCCTGTTTGAGTGCGGCAAGATGTGTGAATGTGGCTACAATCTCCAAACTGTAGTTCGTCGAAGTATTTAACACAAGTTCTGTTCTTGCTGATTAAAAATCGTGTGTGAGCAGGGGTCAAAGCCGCAAAAACTTGTTGCTCAAACAGGAGATCAGAGTGGTTCCCCAAGGACTGTCAATAGTCCTCCCGGTGATCATGCAGACAATACAAGATCTTATTCCAAGTTCTTTTCCAAACCTTCTGGATATGCTTCCACTACGAATCCCAGCTTGAATACTTGGGTACGTCATTAGACTTGGCGTGTACTCCGCACCACAGCTTGCCTCTTGAATTTTTGAATGACTCAAATTTGCACTTGATTTGTATTACTCTTTTTAGGTCATAAATCGATTGATTATTACACGTGTTTTTGTCTCTTTTGCATCAGCCTACCCCAGCAGCTCCTGCAGGAGTGAAGCCTGGACCATCGTCTGGAGCGGGACCTCTTTGAGTCTACGTAGTGTTCTGTAATCTTGTTGGTAGAGGTACTGTGAATAATTTTAACGTTTTATTAAACTCAGATTATTCAGTTTGGGCTAAAAATCAAGGCGTTCTGTAGAAGCATGACGCATGTACTCTGTAAACATATGCATTTCTATTACCTGGTTCACTCCTTTGTCTTATCTTTGTCGTATCCGAGGGTCACACTTAAGCAGTAAAGACGACTATTTTTGTGAAGAATTTTTTTGTCGAGATGCATGCGAGGAGTAATCGCAAAGTCAGAACGTGATTTAGGCGACAGCCATACTGTATTCTGTTATTGATGATATACGAGTTTGTATGCTCAACGTCATATAAGATGTGTAATAATGCAAGCACCACTGTCTTCAGCTCTAATTTTTGCAGTTACGCTGCCCATGTCGTTTCTATATCAAATGGCTTGTGAAGTCGGAGTTTTTGTGTTGTAAAATTGCGTTGCTTGGCCATACTCATTCCTTCCCATCGTCGTCAATTGTACTATCCATCTCTCCATTCAACATTCAAACCCTTCACGTTCTAAACCTCCGGAATCGTTTATGTAGAAACACATGCACAACCAGATCATACTTTTGGATTATTTGTTGACCATTCTCATGTTCAAAATCTCCACAAGCTTCTGCAAATGGAGATTGGACCGCATATCGCAACCGCGTAGAGACCTTCTGGCGCCAATTGTAAACGAGTCCAGCAGAAGGGAGTGTAGTTCACCTTTTATGTGAGGTGATTGTTGTTAAACACGTGGTGGGTTTGGTCCCCTTCACATTTTGCCCACCGCTTTCTCTCCTGCACCGCACCTTTTGCCAAACTTGAGGCCGGATATAAAGCTACGAGAATGACTATTTCAATCAATCCCCAGCAGGCAGTTCCATGAGCTCGTTTACAGTTCCCGGTATTCATTGTGTATTACTGCGCGTCCCACATATTGATTCAGGTGGGTAGGTTTTACCATCTCTTCGCCTTTGCTCCACCTCAGTTTTTGTTTCGTCGCCCTATTCGTCCATGTGGTTGCATTTTGTTCCACACTCCAATTTGTTGGAATTAAAATTTAGCGACCATCTGTGCATTGAGTTGTCTCTTGCCTTTGCAAATTAGAAGAATGTTTTGAACGAATTCTGGTTCAGTGTTGAATTATGCTGGACGGGGAAGGAAATTAGTGGTAAACCTAAGAAGCAATATAGGTGTTTACTCTGCGCGTTTGATTCGAGCGTCCATTCTGCAGGCAGCGATTGCACCATTGCATTGCACCACGTAAATTGAGTTGAGTCGAACCAAGGGGGGAAGGAATGGAGACGATGCAGTGCGCAACTGCGACGACAACGGGCATTGGGAGCCTGTTACTCCGCGGAGCTGCTAAAGGTAGGTCTTCGCGTTCACGAGGGAACCACATGCGAGTGGTGATGAGGAGCGGCACTACAGCCAATAGCAATCGTCTCTCGTTGCTGCAGGCTCTTTCTCAAACGGCTGCTGTGCAGTCTCAACGCTGTAAGCTCTTCTCCTCTGTTACTTTCTACATTTCTTGCGAACATACTCTACCTCGCACGGGTGGGGTGGGAATAGCGATATGCAGAGGTGATTTACCCAAATTTGCAGCCAGTTTGCTTCTGAATCTGATCCTTCTCTGGTTCTCAAACAGCTCTACAGAGCCTGATTTCGGATATTACTAAATACGTCAATCCCCAAATGTCTAAGGACGCAAGGAACTTGGAGGAGGCTCTGATGAGTGGTAAGCAGCTACACAACGCTTCATAATGGTTTCCTGGCTTTTTTAGTTGGTGTTGCTGTGAAGCACGTACTAATTAAAAAAATTCTTCAAGTTGCGGCTCCTATTATACAACTTATCTCGTAATAATTGGCTTTGTAGTTATTTATCTGCTTGCCTTTATTTCGAAACCATAATCTGTAACAAATCGTCAACCTTTGTAATTTCATTATCTTATTTATCTATCTTGAGATCCCGTGGGCTTTGTTCCAGTGCCTGATTTGGAGACCATACCCTATGATCTCGTTCGGCGTGAAGCAGACTATGAAATCCGAGATGTTAGGGTAAACCATCATCGCTTCCCAAAAGTGGTTCTACATCGTTGCCTCACCTATAACAATCTTCTTCTTCTTCTTTTTTAATAATATGACCGGGGATTAATTTGATAAGGAAGAAGCTCGTAAATTAGTATTGTGTTGACGGGGGATTTCTGGTGCATGTGCTCGGGGTGATTCTGGTCAGCCACATGTAGTCGCCGAGACAACAATGTCTGGGCGTAGTGGCTTTGATTTCGCCAGCTCTGGTCAAGCCTTCAACACACTCGCGGCTTATCTCTTTGGCAAGGTATAGATACATTTGAAGTAGCTTACCCTTAAATGAGTAATACCTTCTTCATGTGAATTCCTGGAACTGCAAGATAACTCTATTGACTCAATGTTGATTTTGGAGTAATAAAATTCTACAAGTGGTAAGAATTCAAAGTAATTGTCAAGTTCGGCAGTTTATTTTCCCAAGCATGTTGATAAGTATAGTTGTATAACGCAGAATTCAAGGCGGTCCGAGATGTCAATGACAACACCTGTGATTACGAACAGAGGTCAGTCGAGAGGAGAGAAAATGGAAATGACCACTCCTGTGATTCAACAGGTACAAATAAATCCAGAATTTCAAACCATTCACTTCATGTATCAATTCCACTTCACCTGCAGATAGAAGCTGAAAAAGTTTGATGGTAGTCGGCACTGCAGTAGGGCAAACGAGGGTAATGAGGATTGATGGTGAGGATGTGTAGAGGGGCTCAGGAGACGAGCAATGGCGAATGTCCTTTGTGTTACCAGCCAAGTACAACAACGACGCGCCAGTGCCAGAGGATTTATCAGTGTCCATTCGCAACATTCCAGGGAAGAAAGTAGCAGTGATGGTATTTTCAGGATTCGTAACAGACGATGAAGTCAAGCGGCGGGAGCAAGCATTGCGCAGGGCACTGCTCAAGGATCCAGTGGTGCGTGTCAAAGCTAATGCACAGCCCGAAGTGGCGCAGGTACTAGAGCTTTCAAATTTTCTAATACCTCATTTCGACTCTGCGACACTGTTGTTTTGTTTCGTTATTTTTATTTTTGTTCTCTAAATTGTTTTATGTTCATTGATGCTTTTGCCTTGAGTGAGTGATTGTGGATGCTAATATAAGTTTTGTGGGTGATGTTACAGTACAACCCTCCATTCACCTTGCCATTCATGAGGCGCAACGAATTGGCTCTGGAGATTGAAGACGTGTTCACCATCAATGTGGCCTCACAGTGAAGATAATGTTCAGGTGTGATTATTACTGATGTTTCATTAAGCAACGTTGTACAAGATCGGATACCCCTTGCACCAAGTAAGCTAATTTTGTTTTTAGTGTAAAATTCTAGCGAGAAGTTTGAGCTGCACGCGCTTTTTTATTGCTGCCTCCTATGTATTATATCCACAGTTCAAAACAGTTTGCCTAATGTTAACCAAATGTTTTTGGGTCATTTCTTGTGAGGTTCGCAACGCTGCTCTGAAATTCTAAGTTATTTTTATGTGTTGGTTGGGAATGAGGTGTAGGTCTTTCAGTTTCTCATTTCACACACATGGTCATATTGACTTGCTGGAAAGGCATTAAAAAAAAAAATGGATGATAAGAATGCGGAAGCTTTCATCCCTTGTTGCAATCTCCAATAGTCAAAAATATGTGCTCGTTGATTTAATAGATTGATATGGTTTTCAATAGTTAAACAAGTGTGATATCAATATTGAAAAACACTGATAAAATGTTCATCAGTTACCAATGCTCAACGGTACACACAAAAAAATTCAATAGATATTAGAAGATTGCAATAATTCATTTTTATTTCATATGGTTTGGAGTTATTTCGGAAGCTGCAATGATACAATCGGTTTTCAAATTAAATGTACAAACGATAGCTATTAAAGAAATCCAATAATCAATTCTATTCCATACTAAAAGAATAAGTTAATATTAATATTAAAAATAAAAATAAAATTGTATAAAATGTTTTGAGTATTACAAATAAAATACTAATTACATCATATCCCACAAATAAATTGCCACTTTATTCTTCAGTATTCAAAATGCCCTTGTTTACAAAATCAACCATGTAAATTGTTATTACATCAAGTTCTGTACACAGTCTTGGATTACTTTCGAGTCAAATCCTTAACCAAAAAGGTATGAACTTTGAAATCATCACATGTAGTAAAAGCCCCAATTGTAATGAAATGACATTATTTGCCCACAAGAATGAGCACTGGTGTTGTAAGCAAATACAACAGATTAAGATTCTCATTCGTTTTGATGTTCTCATGTAAATGTCACCGTAACTCTAGGTCTTCTTACATGATGTAAAAACGTGATCAGAATACAAATTGTGCAATTCGAATTGTATATATAAGGTTGCACGATTCATTGATAATGATCACATGTTCAGTACGTAATCTCTGCGTTAATATACAGAATAACATAAAAATTGCTAATTCCCAAAATAATTTGATGAGTCAGCACGACATAAAAATTATTTAGTTTAAGTTGTTAATGAATAAATTAAATCCACACATTAATTTAATCGTATGTACATTACGTGTAGATCAATCAGAGCTGCAACATGCAAGTCGCTCTTCATAAACAAGGATAGAACAATGATGCAACACTGCTCGACAATTGTATCGCCTTGCTCGAATGTCTACCACCTTCATTGACAGCTATGGAATGAACTAGAAGAACATGCGTGAAACGGGTCCCTTTGCAAGGCCAAGGCGAACCTCCATGCTTTCATGCATATCTCGAGGGACGAATGTGTCCGACTCCTTCGGATCTGGAAGAAAACGAGACCTCCGGTCAGAACAATGCAAAGAAAGCATACTTGACGATAGAGTATGAAAATTTGTGGACCATTCATTCGAGGTACTAACCGAGGTATTAGACTTATAAGCGCTGTTAAAATAAAGAATTTGAAAAAACTCTATACACCTGAAACAACGCGGCTTCCAAAGTTACAAGGGTGGAAAGAAATACCCACCATTCAAAAAGTCTTCGAATCCAAATTCGTCTAATTCTCCAGTCAAAGACTCAAGACCAAGCATAGACGAAGGAATAAGGCCAGTTGGGCGTTGGAATCTGTGCAAGCAAAACACATATTTGATCCGAAGCTGAAATATGAAACTTTATAAGATATTTTCATGCTTGATTTCACAGACGAGGTTGTAATTTACGGTTAAACTAATCACTTATATAGGAAATTATAATAAACCAAAGAAAAGTGTTGCGTAACACGAGCAGAGTGCTCAACGCAGAAAACCTTTTTTTTTGTTAGCTGCAAGTGAAGTTTCTTACCGTGTGAGAATTTGACGTTCAATATCCATCTTCATGGGAAACGCTGAACCATAAGCCCTCTCAAGCAAGGTACGCTTCGTCTGTGCCTGCATGGCTTTAGACTTCACGATACAGCACACATAAACTTCAGTCAAAACTTCGACACATCTCGAAACTCTAAAACTTTGGGATAACTGCAATCCTCACACCTTCGACACAAGCGAAATTGGTACAAAAGACATAACAGACCTATGAGAAACATATAACTATGTCATCTGTAACATCACACAAAAATAAGTAATTGACATTATTGAATTTTGCCGATTATGTCGGTGCGCTACAGAACCCCTCAATCTTGATAACGCCCCAAGCTTGCCCTAAACTTAATCAAAATCAGGTATACTATCAGGAGCTTAGCTGATCGAAACTTCTCCTTTCCAGTATTCATCCGTTAGCCATATTAGTACAAAGATCATTCCCTATACCAAAAAAAGGCAACCAAACAAAGCTCCCGATCTCCATATCCACCATGATCAGTCACCGCAACTCTCGACTAGACACGATGAAAAATTCCAGCTCAGGTGTCGATATCTTACACTCCGCTGAATGACCTCCACGGGGTGGACGGGCAACACATCACTCTTGAACGCAGGCAACCCGTGTCGCAGGGAATCGTGCGATCCAAGCACATCATGTGGCAACTGAATTCCGTCCTGCAACAACCACGACACGCAATCCGAACTCAATCAATACAACTACGCCAAATTTCCAAATCATCCGAAAAAGAAAACAACCTCCCGCAATTCGAAAACATCAGTAATGATGTACGCCAGACATCGATCAACCTACACATGACCAGCAATGGAAAAGGCCCCAAACATCACAAAGCCACACTGGAGAGCCCCAAGCGTAGGAAGCGAGTTGGCGAAGACACACACACACCATGACTGATATCAAATCGGGTGACGAGCAAGCAGCGCTGCTAGCTGTGAAATCAAGGAATAGTGCGAGGGCAGGGGAGGAGCTCTGCGCAACAACAACAGCGATGGCTAAGGCTTCACAACAAACTCTGCAGAGAGAGGGAGCGAGTGATTGAGAGATAGCAAAATTAGGGTTTGAAGGCTCGGACTCCTATGACCGTGACCGCGGGGTCTCCATCACAAGCCATTCACAGGAAGAGTCGGGCTTGGGTCCCCAGTGGAAGTCTCCTGAAGCTTTGTGAGCTGAGTGCTCCACAAGCAAGCAAGCAAGCACCATTTTAACACTCATTTCATCTGTATTTATGTCCAAGTTTACTTTTTTATTTACTTATAGATTTTAAAAAATTTGGAGGTTTGTATTTAGAACAGAAATATTGTATGTATATATATATATATATATATATATATATAAGTAAATTTGATGCACATCAAAGAGTTAGAAGTTTTTTGTAAAATTAAAGCTTGTGTCACTTTATTAATGTTCTTTTTATAAGTTTGAATCCGAAGAATGTTGTAATAGTATTTAATTTTATAATACTAGGGCAAAGAATTCAAATTTGGGTTGAAAAAGTCTTGATTTGGGCAAAGTGATGCTTATGTTGGGGTGGTAATGAAAAAAATGCCCATCTTGAACAAATTTTTATTTGATTGATTATCTCAATACATATATATATATATATATATATATATATATATATGTATAATTTTTTTTTCTTTTTTCTTTTTCTTTTTTTCATTGTTGTTGAACAAGTTTTTTTATGGTTAACACGTGAACACTTTATCAACAGTGCCAAGTATTTAAGTGTATAGGATGAGAAAATTTGTCCTAATATTAAGTTTATTGAAGTCAAATTAACCAAGAACTTGTGACTTAATTTGGATGTAGTTTGGGTCGTTTGTATGTATTTACAACAACAAATATTAATAGTGGTCCTCTGTAAATGTTACTCATAGTCCATCTTCTTGGATTCAAAGTCAATGTACTTTGTAGACTTTCAGTATTTATGAATTTCCCATATGAGCTAAGTCCCATTGTAAGTCACTTTTGTAATCGTTTTGACCTCGATTGTTTACTTCGCTCTAAAAATCATTTGGACATTGTGGAAAATATTATCTGGTAATGACACACCTATCCAGAGAATTTTCATGTGTCGATTAAATGATAACACTCATTGAAATCCCATTCAATATTTGAATTTGAAGTATGCATTATGTATGTATGTATATATATATATATATATATGTATATACATACACACTTCAGAATCACTTTTTGCATATTATAATTTTTTGGAGGAAATACGACCATAAAACATATCAATATAAAATACAAATAGATATTAAAGTTTTAAATGGAGGTACTGCACACAGACATGTACCAATTCAATCGCACTTTTCCCAAGTAGTACATTTCAATGCCAGTGTACTTGTTAGGACATACATTATCAGTTTCTACACTTGTTATTGTTTACGCATTCTCAAAAGTATATGTGTTTACATATAGAAAACAAAATCATGACAGAAAAGAACTCATGCTGCATTTAATATTTTTATAATACATTGTTAAAATTTTAACTATACATGTGTAAATATTTTTTCATTATTAAAGTCTAAACTATAGTTTTCTTGTCATAATTTCTCATAGTAATTGTGATGTTAAAATTGAAGGAGGATAAATTAAGATTAACATTTTCTTTTGGGTAAAATCAACAGTCAACAATACTTTATTAATGATATTTTATGAAACATTGCTAGTTTCACATACATTTTTTTGCAACTCACCACGGTTCAAACCTATAAGATATATTTTGAATCTATACTCCTTTTTCTGTTTTTCTTCTTACTTAGTTTCATTTGTATACTCTCTATGTTTCTCTCTCTGTATATACATCATTAATTTTGTAAGTGAGCTTGTTATTTTTATTTTTATTTTTCAATGATGTTTACAGTGTTTCTGTAGCATTAACAAATGTAAGATGAGTAAAAACAGATTTTTATGATTCTAAATCATAAAGTTAGCAATGTTGTTCTCCATCAAATGAATTGCATTGTGACCCACTATTGTATATCATAGCACTACGCATCAATAACTTGCTCCAACATACCAGCCCCTTAATCTACATCTGCTTTTTCCATACAGTAGATAATACAAATCCAGTGTTTCCGTAGATATCCGAGAGGATGCCAACGATTCCCGTCAATCGAGCATTTGTCCGTCCATCTCTCCGTACATATGTTCCTCCGTCCGTCCGTTATTTCGTTCGTTCGTTGGTCATGCTTAGAGGGGCGTGGCGGGCAAGCAGAGGCGGCAGCCATACTGCTACTGGCTCGTTCGCAATCTCACACTCGTCGTCGTCGTCGTCGTTGTGCACGCCCATTCACAGACATTAGCAGCACTGGCAGCAGCAGCAGCTGAAGCAGAGCTCTAGGGCCTTGAAACCACCAGCAGTCACGCAGATCTTACTCATCTTCGGAGCCAGTTGCGAGGGGCTGCATTCGTCACGAGGTAGGTAGGCAGGCCTTCTGCTCATGGATTTCTCTTCTCTCGCTTTGGTCGTGTTGGATTTTGAAGTGGCTGCACGGAGCACAGCTTTTCTGCACGCATTTTCAGGGAGTTTGAAGCGGGAAATTGGACTTCGGGATTGCAATTTTGCATTATTTACGCTAATTTGGTGTTGGGGGGGGGGGTATTTTTAACATGGTACGGTTGTAGTAGTTTGTGGATTTTTAGTTCAGTGGTTTATTGGTGTTGAGGTGGTATGACTTACTGTTTTATTTTTTTTGGTGTGGGGGTTTGAGTAGTAGAGCAAAATGTTGAGTGTAGTGGGTGTGACGCCTCGTTGTGGATTTTCCGCCACGACCGTCAGCTTCAGGAGGAGCGGGAAGAATGCTAGGGATATTGTGCCGAGCTCGCAAAGTTTCTTCTCTGGGAGCGGCCACTTAGCGATTGTAGGATTTGGGGTGCAAAGTGATAATGGTGTGGAATTGTGGACGGAGAGAACGAATGTGAAGACAGGGAGCATCCGAGGTGCGTTGTTTCCATTTTTACAAAAGAAGAAGAATAAAGAAGAGGTGAAGAAAGAGCTCCTGGATGCCATAGCTCCTTTGGATAGAGGCGCGGAGGCGAGTGACGAAGAAATTGATCGTGTAGACAAGGTGTGTGGATAACAGATTGCCGAAGTGTTTAGAATTTCTCGGAAGTGGAAATTACGTCGGGGAATGTGAATGTGATTGTTGTCGAGAGAGAGAGAGAGAGAGAGAGAGAGAGAGAGAGAGAGAGCTAGATAGGTCACCTCTATGGATATTCATTTGTATGTAAATCCGACCATAGATTGCTTCTTCTAGCATTTCAGCAAAAATTACAGCAGATTAGAGAAGAATTTGAGTCCTTCCTGAGACCCTTTTGATGATCCAGCCGTGAGTGTATTCTTAAGTTGTATGATATCGTCTTGAGCAATATGTTGGTGGGTATAGATTGCTCGGGAACTGGAAGCTTTAAACCCAACGAAGGAGCCTCTTAAGTCGCCGCTTCTGAATGGGAAATGGAAATTGATTTACACAACTTCTGCTAGCATTTTGAAGAAGAACGTAAGTTTTTTTTGAATTCTGTTTTCATGTATGGGTCTGGCATTTTTATTAGATGTTTGTTGCATTCTGTATACTTTTTTCTAGTTAGAAACGTTAATTTTTCCTGCTCAACTCGCAGAGATTACCAAGGATTTCTCCTGAAAACAATTTGATTGAGTAGGAATGTTATTTTCAAAAGCGCTGAAGATTTCTTATCCTGAATGTTTGCAGCGACCTAACCTTCTGAGACCCAATGGCGCCATCTACCAGGCCATTAATGCAGACACGTTGAGAGCACAGAACTTACAAACGTGGCCCTTTTTCAACCAAGTAAGTTTAAGAAGCAAGAAGACCACATGCATGAAAGTTATTTTAAGCTTAATTTTGCAATTAACTTCATGTAAATCTCAATCCCCATATCTAATTGCTCCGGCTACAATCTGGATATGAATCTGAATTGTGCACGACGTCAGCTTTGACTTTGGAACCAGGCATGAGAAAAATAACTTTAACATAGCAGTTGTAGAAACGATTAGCTCAACTACAATTTCTTATGCAGGTCACAGCAAACTTAGATCCTGTCAATTCCAAGAAAGTAATCGTGAACTTTGATTTCTTCAAAATTGCTGGATTGGTGAGTATAATCCTCGCTGTTCATGCTTGTTTATTTACCTGCACTCAAGTTGTTGCTTAGCAGAGCGCAACTTCCATGAACAAATACTTGGATTTTCTGTGTTGATAGAGGTCACTGAATTTTCCTAAACATGATTTGTTGCAGATTAGTGTTAAGGCTCCGGGGCGTGCTCGAGGAGAACTTGAGATCACGTATTTAGATGAGGAATTGCGGTAAGTTTACAGCAAGTTGGCTCAAGTTTTATCATTGAGATGAATGTACCTTATCCCTGGATTCTATTATCCTTCAACTATCGTGTGATGAGTGGTCCAAACTTTATATACTTGCGTTATTTCCATCTTTTGCAACGATCTCACCGATATGAATTTCTAACTGGTTTTTTGATTGGATTCTGGATGCAACAGTGTCTCACGGGGGGATAAAGGAAATTTGTTTGTGCTCATCATGGACGACCCCAGCTACAGAGTTCCTGTTTGAATTTCAGGTCAACGATTCCCCTCCACCCTTACACATAGATTGCAAGGTCCTAGATTCTTGTATTATGACGTGCCAGCACTCTGTCAACTCACCCGCAAGAACGGATGGTTCGGGTGAAGAGCCAAATTCTGTAAATTTTGTTTCAGTTTGTTCCGTTCTACCAGCGTGAATAGGGTGTGAAAATCTAGAGTTAGTGGTTTATGTACATCCGTGACCTTTGTATTCACTGTGTTTCTTGAAGGAAGTAAAATAGAGGATTGAATTCTGTTTGGGCACCAGACCAGCATAAGCTTAACATTGCCAAACAACATGAATGAGAGGGCTGTATCGTCATTGAAGTCAATCACTCTTTAGGAAACTGTCCTACGACCCTTTTGACAAACAAATATCCAGTTTTAAAACTGGGACCCAACATGATGCTCAACATGGGTGTGACGCCTTGTTGTGTAGAGCAACTGAAAGTGGCAATTGTAATCAAACTTGGCACAATCTGGGAATGACATCTGTTTTCGACTTTGTAGTCGTACTGTTGATCTTCGACACTTCTACTCTGATGCACCTGTAGTGTAATGCTTGAACAGCGACCATTATTCCCTAGAACGACGAACTTATTCGTTAACCTAGAGTGAAGACTTCCAAGGTCAAGGATTTGCTTCAAATGGCGAGTCTTGGTATTTGGAAAAGTACTCACGAAACAGGATAATTCACTTGAAATTCTACCGAATTTTACCTCTTTCGGTTCTGCTCATATTAAAGAACTAGACACCCAATGAAAATGAATACGTGTGCCCCTGGCATGATGGAGTGCAGGGTCCAATGAAAACCTCACCGTAACCGTCAAAAAAATCGCATCCCTAAGTGCCTCCCCCTTGGCCATGAAGCGACTGATTCTACATGGAACACGTCCACAGCCTCACGGACCAATTCCGCGTGGAACACGACGGTAGACTGGGCGACCAGCCCTAGTTCGACGCACAGTTCGGCTGATGCGAAGCCCTAGCGCTCCCTCTATAGCTTTTCGAGGCTTCTCCCCTCTCGTTTTCTTCCATATCTATACATCTCTCTGTGCGGCGCAGTCACGATTTGGTGGTACTTGTCACATTGACTCCTTTGCTTTTTGCTTCTGTGTGATCTGTGTCGAGGTTTTTTTGTTCTCAGGAAAGATGATTTACGACGTGAACTCCGCTTTGTTCCGGTCCTTTTTGAGCCAGAAGGGCGCTGCGGACAAGCGCAAGCCTGATATTCAGCAGTCGGGCAACCAACAGCGGGCGCCCAAGGCGAACGAAAACAAGCCTGTAATGAACGAGTGATCGCCAACTCACAGTGGATCCTTGTCTCCCTGATGGCGAGGAGGCGGCGGAAGGAGTGATCTGTTTTGAGCGTTCTGGAAAGATGGAGAACTTACTCGGCATCATTATTAGGGTTTCTCATAGCCTTTTAACAATGGATGGTGGGGTAGGCTAGTGCTGCAGGCGGTCTTGCGAGAGAAATACGTGTCTTGGTATTTTGGTATTGTCTTGCAGAAGAGCGGAGATGATGGGTGCTTCGTTCCTAATTACGAAATGTTCATCTTGTCAGTAGCAGGGGTATTCCATGATACTGGGTTGCACATTGCATACTGCCGACGGCAGATGCTTCACCGGAAACAGTTGCTTCTTAGACGTTACTGTGGTATTCAATCAAGAGTAATCCATGGTCTCTTCCTGGAGTGGAATATAATAACCTATGGAGTTCTCCGCCCATTTCGGTGTTCAGTCTGAGTTCTGTGCTGCGTCCATTTGCAAGAAGTGTCTCCAGGCCCTTTGTTTCTTCGTCTTGAGCCGTCGTCACAATCTCTCTTGTATGAGCACTCCTTATCCTACCAGAAGATGGGAAGCTGTTATCAACGTTCACAGGGTCGTAAGCCAACCAACGTTCAGCTGAAGATGACTCGTTTCTTTTGGTTGCTTTTGGTATGTGCATAAATTCGAATCTAAAATCCAGAAGTTCAACATTTAAGTTTCAATTCAAACTCTCTAAGTCCCCCTTTAAAAATGATGGTTTTCATCAGTTGAATGAAGTGTTTCGCTGCACTAATAATTCTCTCGAAAATGAGTTGCACACATATATTACTATTGTTTGTTGTGGTGGATTCTCAATCTAAGATCCCGCAACATAGTAATACTGTTCATCAATATAACACATTCTATGAAATTGTCATTTGGAACACAAAAATAGCAAAAGACTTCATGAATGTCACCTAGAGCACTAAAATAATTTGTTATGAAATTGTTGTAAAAGTTACTTGTAATGCAAAAAATTATTCAACACTACATAAGTACCACAACCAACTCTCAATTCTTTTATGGCACCAACTAATGGCACCAACTAATCTTGAATTTGTTTTTTTTCATTGACAAATCTATCATTGAGAAATATATATATATATATATATATATATATATTAGATTCTATAATCATAGAATCTCATTTCTATTGCATAGAAACTTTTAATATCTAAATTTTTCTAAAGTAGTCTTAGATACAAAGAAAATTAATTTGCATTATCTTTTCACATCCTCATAAACTAATTTTGATAGTCTTTCATTTCTTAATATGTGTTAATTTTTTTTACAATAGCAATCTACAAACTTAAATTAATATCATGGCACATAAATCTTTCATCTCAGCTAAATAATAAACTATAAGTTTTTTTTATCTTATAAAAGGATGTCAATATGTAGTATAAAGTTGTCAACATAATTAATTCTATTTGGTATAAATACCTTCAACCAATTGATGATATAGCTTAGATAGTTAGAATAGAAAAAATGAATTCTATTCTTTACAAAAGAGTCACCTATTGAACTAGTGGTTGTTTGCAATGTTGGTTTTTCATTCTATCTATATCTCTACCTCTTCTTCCTCTTTTCATATTCTCTTTTTGTCTACAAGGAAATTTTAAAGATTTGAACATTAGAATAGCTATTTGGAGCTAATATTGTGATGATTTTTTAATAACAAAAAAGTTTAAATACATCAAATATAACTTATAGATGTATAACTTATACATCATATTAATTTGTTAAAAAAATAAATCAAATTTTTTATCCATAATACTTAATTATTACTTATATATATATATATATATATATATATATATATATGATAAAGTGATCCAAATTTTTAATAAATTGATCTACATGTTTAAACCATCATTGTGCCTTTTCAATCCTATTCTCATTGTTGTATGGTATGATTTACAATCTGAGAATACATGGGATATCTAACTATAGAGAGTTTAGTTTTAACTTATTGTCTTAGCTCAAATAAGTGATTTATTCCACTTTTCACTTACATACAAAACCTTGGCTCCCAAAAATCCCTTCATTTTGCGTAAAAATTCAAAATATAGTAAAATCTTTTCAATATATATATATTTTGTAAAAGATTTTTTTTCCATCAAACTTTATAATCTTATATCTCTTGATCCAATTGTTTAGATTCTCTCAAATTTTTATATAAAGTAGCTATTATCCTTAAGCTTAACTACAAAAAAAATGAACTATAAATTTGCTATTGATCTATTGGCATCTTAGAAACCTTAGCATGTGCTCCAAACCCTAACTTATAAGCACCTGAGTACTATTTTCTTAATATCTCAAAAATCCAAAATTCAAATGCTACAAAATTTGTGCACAAAGTTTATTAATATGATTATACACATTTTTAAAATTTTTTAGCCAAAATCTTATCAAATTGCTCAAAACAAAACCATTAATAAATCGGATCACTTATTGCCCTGAGATTGCAAGTATTGACTTCAACTTCCAATAACTCCCTTATCTCAGTTTAGAATTCATTAGATAATATGCAAAAAGTATAGCCAAATAAATATTGTTTCTAACCCCAGTTGTTGATCTTTCATTGCTTTCCAAACGCACATATTATGTCCAAATGTTAGGGACATAGTCCTTAGAACCTTCTAGAGACAAGTTTCTAGAACCTTCTAGAGACAAGCTTCTAGAACCTTCTAGAAGCAAGTCTTTGGAACCTTCTAGAAGCTTCTTAGTTGGTAGAAGATGTTAGGGACATAGTCCTTAGAACCTTCTAGAGATAAGTTTCTAGAACCTTCTAGAAGCAAGTCTCTGGAACCTTCTAGAAACTTCCTAATTGGTAGAAGTTGCTTGAGAAGCTTCCTAAATAGGAGTATATATTGGAATCGAGGTTGAAGAGTTCTTCAGTCTCGACAACACATCTCTTGGAGCTCTAGCTCACCTCTCTGGTGTTGTTCTTGTATTCATTTGATTAATCTAGTTCTTGCCAGTTCTTCTTGAATTTCTTGTTGGATCTCAAGTCTGTATTTCTGTGTCCGTGACAATTTGTTGAGATTGAACTCACCTCAGATATCAGAGCTAGTTTCTTCTTTGTTAGAGTGTGGATTACCCCTCTGCTTGGAAGTATACTAGCATTTTAGAGGTTGCGGATTACCCTCTTCTAAACTGATACTTCTTTTGTTACAATATTGGAGTCTTATTCTTCTTGGAGAGAGTGGATTATCCCTTTTCTTGAAGCTCTTAAGGCATTTTAGAGGTTGCGGAGTACCCTCCTCTAAACCAATATTGTCTTCTTATAAAGTCATTTCTGTCCTTCTCTTAGAATGGTCGGTGGCCAAGACATTAGTATGACGGAAAGTTCAGAGTCCAAATTAGATGCTATCATGAATGTCCTCGCTACGTTATCGCAAAGAACTGGTGAGATTGAAGGAGTCGTGGCAAGGCTTCATAATGATGGAGCATCTAGGATGGCACAATCTAGGTTGCACCAGCCTCAAACTTCTGCACTTGAAGAAGCAAATTTACCTCAGGTTCGACAAGTACCGCTGGTTCTACAACATAAAGAACCCCGAGTTAGCCTTCCGGATAAGTTCGATGGTACGCATTTCAAGTTTCGAGGATTCGTCAACCAAATCAGGTTGATAACAGTTTTATAGCCCGAACGCTATCCAATAGAGGAATCACATGTTGGGCTTGTTGGAACCTTACTTACAGGACAAGCTCTATTATGGTTCGCTCCTTTGTTTGAGAAACGATCGTCTATACTAAACAACTTTGAAACCTTTTTGGAGGCATTTGCGGAAGCATTTGGTGAACACAACAAGATTTGATGGGCTACAACAAAGATCCGGTCACTACGACAAGGAATGCGTTCTACATCAGTCTATGCATTGGACTTCAGGCAATTAACATGCGACATCAATTGGGACGAAGAAGCATTGATGAGTCAATTCTATTGGGGTTTAAGGGACGATGTAAAGGATTTACTGTTAACTCTTCCTGATTTGCAAACGCTCAATGAAGCTATTAGCCAAGCTGTGAAGTACGATAACCGCCTTTTTTAACGTCGCCAAGACCAACGTTCAAGACAACATACGGTTCGCCACACCCCAACTATGTCGGCAAGCAGCATGAATTCACATTCAGAGGTAGAAGATATGTAAATTGATGCGGTACGTGTCAAATCTCTTACTCTAGAAGAAAAAAAGCGGCGTATGGAGGAAGGTCTATGCTTATATTGTGGTGAAGAAGGCCACAAAGTTGGAAACTGTCCCAAGAAGCAAAATCGACGTATTATCAAGACTAGGGGCGCGTTTATTCAGGAAAACGAGGATGCCCAGCCACAATAGGAACCGTGCGGCTGGACAGTGAAATATCGCAACAACAACCAGGTTCCTTTCTTTCCGTTCAACCTGCCCTTTGTTTTACAATCCCTTTGCTTATTGGCCCTCAAAAACTGAAAACCTTAGCATTATTAGATTTAGGAGCATCTGCTTGTTTTGTAGACGAAGAATTTGTAAAGCATCATAAGATCTTTTTAGTACAAAAATCCAAACCTGTCCATGTTGAGGTCATAGATGGGCGACCTATATTATCTGGTAGTGTCACCCATGAATCAGAACCTATAGAAGTGACGTTTAAGGACCATAGTAGTTATATTATTTTTAATATTATTAGAACCCCATCAAATCCTATTATTCTTGGTCTTTCTTGGTTGAAAAAGCATAACCCATCCATAGATTGGAAGTTACGGAAGATGACCTTTTCCACAAAACCACCCAAGAGCAAGCTTAGTAGAAAACCCCGAATAAAGAAATCCTTATTTATTGGAGCAAGAGCGTTTATAAGATCGTCCAAGGAAGACACATCGTTTGTCATTTATGCGGCTCCAACTATCGAGGAGAAGATCTTGACAGCAAGTATACCGGAGCAATATAAGGATTTTAAAGACGTGTTTCAAAAGAAAAATGCTGACATGCTACCAGAACACAGACCATATGATTGCACCATAGATTTACAGGAAGGAGCTCAACCGCCTTTTGGCCCAATCTACAATCTATCGCAGACGGAGTTGGCAGAGTTGCGGAAGTACATCGACGAGAATCTAGCCAAGAACTTCATCCGTCATTCAAAATCGTCAGCTGGAGCACCCATCTTATTTGTGAAGAAGAAAGATGGCTCATTGCGAATGTGCGTGGACTATCGAGGCCTCAACAAGGTAACAAAGAAGAATCGTTATCCGTTATCCTTGATTTCTGGTCTCTTAGAACAACTTGGACGTGCAAGGATCTTTACAAAAATTGATCTAAGAGGAGCTTACAACCTCGTACGAATCAAGGAAGGAGATGAGTGGAAGACAGCGTTCCGTACAAGGTATGGCTATTTTGAGTATAATGTCATGCCCTTTGGTCTTACCAATACTCCAGCGGTCTTTCAAC